ATCTTGCCCTGTCCGACGTCTCCCCTCATCCACTTTTCGGTTGTCTGTCCCCCAGGGAGGAGGTCACACACAGTTCCATGTAATCGGTTCCCTCTGTTGATTCTCCTGTGCAGCCAGTCAGATTCCATGATAACTACCCTTGTCCCATGGGATGACCACACTTCTCCATTTGGTTTTCAACTACCCCACTACCCCTAGTCGGAGTCCTTGGGGGGTACAAATGGTTAAATGCTTAGTTGCAAACAGAGAGGTTGGTGGTGAATTACACCTCCCTCCCAGGCACCTCGGAGGAAAGGTCTGGCAAGCTGCTTCAGGAGGGCCTCAGCTTTGAAAACCCTACAGAGCATCCTGCTTCTCTGCACACATGCATAGAATCTCCATGAGTTGGCGGCAACTGGCGTTTCTGTTTGTTTGTTTTAATCACCCCATAGGCTCTCTTGTGACACATACAGCTCCCCTCCCCATCCCTACCTGTACCCCTGCACCCAGCAGTGTGTGAGGCAGTGAACCAGGGTTGCACACATAGAGAGTATTGTCCATATCTGGAGGAGAATGCGGCTGCTCTCCTAGGCGGGTCTTGCGTAGGTTAGATTTGGTGTCTAAATACGGGGGTCAAGGAGACTGGCAGTTCTGGTCGGGTAAACTGGGAAGGCTCTGCACAAGGTGTCCCATTTCAGGAGGCCATGGAGCACTGGCTGGGGCAGAGCTGCTGGCAGCCAAGAGGATACCCCATGTGTGGTGGATCTGGGAAGATGCCCACAGGAAGCAAATGAAGCTGTGGTTTCTGTACCTGTGTTGGGCTGAGGGACCTGCAGGGAGGAGGGCAGGTGGGAGAACCCTGACTGAAATGATTTCACCTTTAAAAAAAAATTACATCAAGAAAGAAGTTAGACATGGGCTCACAATGACCTACAGCTGCATTTCCTCTGAAAGGTGAATATATTTCATCTGAAGTTCCTGAGCCCATCTGGTTGTCACTAGTGATTTGCCCCCTGGTGTCAGGGAACATGATGTATACCTGGGGAAGAGGCTCCTAAGAGGAATGGAGGGAGCTGGATCAATAAGAGAACGAAGAGATAACAGGCCCCACTCCATCCTTCTTCCTGCAACGAAGCATCACAGGCGTGGCCACTTCTTTTACCTGCACGGCACCCCTTGGTTGGTTTTGGTGCTGCCATCATCATGGGGAGGGGAGGTGGAGGTGGGGGTGGGGAACAAGAAGAGGAGAGCAACTGGAGAGGAATTGTGGTAAAGGAGGAATAGGAACAGTTGTTCCCTCTGGGTGAAACCAAGGCACAGGACCGGCTAGATCATTTGCAGGGCACGTTGCTCAACAATGATTAAGAATTTCAAAATGGTGCCAGCAGCATTAAACCAAGCACGGGCCCTTCCAAGCAACTCTACGGGTCACATGCCCTGAGGCTGCCGGGTCAGCAGTGGCATGGTGGCCGCCAAGAAGGGCTGGCGGCTTGGGGCCTGATCGCCGAGCTGTAGAAGTGGCCGGGCATGGTGGGCTGCATTCCCTGTAGCACCTCCGCCCAGCGCCCCCTGTGCTCCTTCCCCAGGGCCCAGCGGAAGCAGATCGAGAGGGAGAAGCTGGAGGAGGAGCGAAAGGCCACGGGGCGCCTGCAGCACGCCAACGAGCTCCGGCGCCAGGTGCGTGAGAACCAGCAGAAGCAGGTGCAGGAGCGGATCGACACCTTCGAGGAGGGCCGGCGCCTCAAAGAGGAGGCCCAGAGGCGGCGTGAGCGCATCGAGGACATCAAGAAGAAAAAGCTGGAAGAGCTGAGGTGCGTGGTGGGGGCAGACCCCTTCCCCCCCCCCCTCCCAGCTCCTTGCCCCTCCCCCAGCAGCGGGCACAGGAGGCGGGAGAGACTGTGACCCGTGTGCTCAGGGACTGCCCTTCGCTTGTCTTGAGGCTCCCATGGGGCGGCCTCCCACTGCAGGTCCCAGGAGGAAGTCCTGGGACTGCACCCTGCTCTTCTCAGCCCTTAGGGGCTCCTGGGCGGGATGCGGAGCCCTCGCTGAGAAGGTGTTTGGGGGTGCTGCATGGCTGGAGGTGTGACCTGGCCGCTCACTCCGGCCCCATTTCTCCCCTCCCTGCAGAGCCACCGGCCTCCCGGAGAAGTACTGCGTCGAAGCAGAGCGAAAATCGCACCTCCTGTCGGCCACCTCTGTGAACTGAGGGGCCTGCCTGAGGCCCGCCCCGGGGCACAGGTCCTGCCCCCACTTCTGTTGTAGATTTTTGCTGCTAATGCAAACATTTCGTAATGAACAGATTAAATGTATTCTTCGCTAAAGGCTCGCTCGGCTCTCCTGTGGGGATGGGGCTGCTACGAGGCACTGCCTGCAGAGGGAGGGCAGTGGGGTGGGGAGACCAGGGTAGCTGGCACTGTGGTGCTTAGTTAGGGCAAGGGGCGGTGCTGGGGCTCATGTGTGGCCGGAACCAGGTGGCTCTTTTGCCCTATTGTCTTTATTTTTTAAAATCACTTTATTCGGGGCTCGTACAACTCTCATCACAATCCATCCATCCATCGTGTAAAGCACACTTGTACATTCGTTGCCCATCTTCTGGTCTTTTTTTTTTTTTTGGTGAGTTGGAAGCCACCAGCTGCTCTCACAGAGGAAGACGAGGCTTTCTAGTCTGGTAAAGAGTTACTGTCTCGGAAACACAGGGGCAGTTCTGTCTGTCCTATGAATTCGTTATTTTTGGCTACTGCCAACATGAATCCATTTCCAGCACAGCCTTGTCTGCGCCGCTGCCCCCTGTCCAGGTTGAGTGGCATTTCCGGGTACTGGGGCAGAGAGCTAGAGATGCTCTCGCAGGGAGTGGGGTGGGGCCAGGGCTGGGCTGAGTGGAGCTGGGGAAGGAGGTTCCAAGGCTGGGCCTGAGCGCCCAGCCTGCTCACGCCCACGACTCAGACCACATCTGTGCAGGAGAGATGTTTGAACCTGGGCTGGATTCTCCTGTCCTGGCCCTCTCCCACCAGAGCCTTTTCAACTCCAGGCAGCGTCTCAGCACAGACACGCCCAACACGCCTCACCCTGCCGGCCCAGTCCCTGCACCCCTCACTCCCCTAGCCAGGCTCTCCCCAGCCCACCTCATCTCACAGCCCTTCGGCCCATTTTCGTTTTCCTCCCTTTGCCCAGAATCCTGTCCCTTCCTTCCTTCCTTCCTTCCTTCCTTCCTTCCTTCCTTCCTTCCTTCCTTCCTTCCTTCCCTGGTTCAAATATGTGCCAAGGACCTACTATGTGCCAGGTACAGTTCTAGGCACGCAGTGCAACCTCTCCCTGGCTGCTACCCACAGCCTTTCTCTCACCTGCAGAATCCCATCATCCTGCTCCACGCACCCCCTCTTCCCCCCAGTGTTCCACTGCTCAAATCCAGAGCCCTGTGTCCCAATGTCCCCTGATGGGTCCAGCAGATGGCAGCTGCTGGGTGTGTCCTGGGTGTTTACAATGCTAGGTTACAAGGGCCTCGGGCAAGAGTCCTCTCTTCACAGGGCCCAGGGAGAGTCGGCAAGCGGCTTCCTCTCCCTCAGGCTGGTCACAGTTCCCGCAGGTGAGGTCTGCAGCCCCCGCCCGGACTGCCAGGGAAAGAGGCTTTCTCACCTCAACACCCTTCACTGCGAGCCTGCTGCCCTAGGGCATCTGATGCCCTCTTCTCAAGGGGTCCTGATGACCTGCTCCCCCACTTATGCCCTCTGCAGCTGGTCCAGTAGCTACCTAATGCTCACTGATCACAGTTCATATCGAGCCCTTACCTATTTCAGGGGAGGCCCTTCCCCAGAAACACCAGGAAGAGCTTTGGGGACAGCAGGGCCGAGAGGAACGGGCCCCCTGGAGCAGGTTGGGGGAAAGCCACACCAGAATGGCCTCTCAACGTCTGAGGTCTGAGGTCGCGTCTCGAGAGCTGGGTGAGGCCAGGAGCTGAAGGTGCTTGGCCAGAACTGACAGCTGCCCATGACCCTGCGGGTCTTGTGGCGCCTGGCAACTCCCAAGCCCTTTTCAAAAGGATGTGGGCATGGGACAGTTAAAAGTTACACGAACAAAGCTCGGGTTCTAAGAAGACAGCCGACTCTGAGCAGGGGAAGGCAGTGGGGGCCTCGTGGGGAGAATCTGAGCTCCACCTCGCTAGGTGGCTGTGTTGATGCTGCCACTCCCACGCCAGCCTCCCCCCGAGAATGTCCGTCGCAGGAATGGACCACAGCGCTCAGCCACCCACCCCACTCATTGTGACCAAGGGCGTGATACCATATGGGGGACCATACAAGTTTCGTGCAGCGTTTCTGTAGAGATGCGTTATTTTTAATGAAAATGTCGACGTGGTTAGTTAAAAGAGTACGCCACACATAGTTCAGAAGCCCAGGCTGCATGTGTCAGTGGACTGACCAGGTTGGACACTCCATGCTGACTGGCTTTCTGAAGCCCTGGCCAGCGCTGTCCTGATTGCCCAGTGACCGTGATGCTCCGAATCGCACGCTGTTGCTTCTCGTTGCTGCTGGTGTTTTGAGAGTGAGCGATCCCCGTCAGATTTTTTAGTGTGTGAGCTATGTGATCGTGGTCATTAGGATTTGGGAACCTGATCCAATAACCCGTGGAGAAGAAACACCAAAACCAAAAGAGGCTTCCCCTCCCTCAGTTACTAATGACTCTGTAACCAATAATTCAGTATGGAAAGTTTCCACAAAATGGTTCTGTGAGAAAGAGTGCATAGAAATCATTGAAGGCTGTATCACATATTCGGATTAAGAGTGACGGTAGATATGGTCTTGTGGAGGAGGAATCCCATGGGAGCGGGGTGCCCCCGTGAGGGATCACTGTGAGTGACACAGACCCTCCTGACGCCACTGCCACTCATGAGAAGACGTGTGTGCGCGCGCGCGGCGCGCGCATGCAGGGGGATTGATACATGCTCTCAGGACTCCTGAGCAGCCTTGAGCAGGCTTCCGCAGGCTCTGACTCATTATAGGAGCCTCGAAGTTCCTACAAGTAGGACAGTCCTGAGCACCAGGCAGACCCTGCCCAGCGGACAGGAAGTGGGGATAATTGCAGGGGAAATAAGTGGGGGCTGGGGGAGTCTGGATGGCAGGTTTATAGGAGGAGCCAGCAGGAGTGCCCTGCTTGCTGAGAGGCGGGCAGGACCTGCAGACAGAGATGAGAAAAAAATCAATACTTGGTTAGGAGGACTGTAATGGGGTTCAACTTCCAGGAAGATCAGACTGTTTGGAAGCTTCTGGTAGTGGGGGGTTTCTACTAAGGATGGTTTCAGCTTCCTGCCCCCTCCCCATGTTTAGAGGAGAAGTGAGTTGAGTGGTCTTGGGAAACCCAGAGACAGTAGAAAGGGTTGCCTTGTGCACTGTCTTTGTAGATCCAAAGATTTGAGAAGCTTGCTTGTGGCCAAGCAATTGACTTTGTTGTGGGGGAAGCTGCCGCCTCTGTTTCTTATTTTCACATGACTTTGTATATAAAGGTCGATGGTAACTCCCAAAGACTTCCCTGCCTCCTTTTCTTTTACCCTTGGGCCTTTCACCCTTTGCTGGTCCAGTAGAAATCCCATGATTGGGCTTCAGCTTGGTGCACTGAGTCAGGTCTGCAGGCTGATGCCACCAGGGGCCATGTCCTCCAGGCTCCTGGCTGGGCTCCATGTTTGCATGTGCTCGCACCTGCACCATGCTCGGCTGCCGTGGTTTGGAAGCAGTCTCAGAGCCTTTGCATCTGCTGCAGAAGCAGTCCCAGCTGGGGGTGACTCAGCAGGCCGCCCTGGTGGCTGAACCAGGCTGTCCCTGACTCAGTAGGGTGCTTCGATGTCCTCTGCCACCCCTGAAAGCCTTGGTATCCCCATTTGTGACTCAGACCCCAGCTGGGCATTAATAGGTCTCAGTAAAAGCTCATTGATTAGGCTCAGATGAAAGGGGCCGAGAGTGCAAAGCGAGACAGGTCTTTTGGGAGGAGGAAGGGCGGCAGCTGTTTAGGTGACAGTGAGGGGAGACGCTGGCGTCTCAGACAAGAAGCTGGGCGAGAAGGCCATTGGAGCTCGGGAAAAGAAGGCAGCGTTCCATTCTCTCCCCTCCTGACTGCTCCTTCTGCAGAGTGGGTGTGTAGGGAGAGCACGGGAGGAGGGCTTGGTTCACTCCAGACCAGGGGTCTCCTTCCCATGTCAAGCTGCTGGCTCAGGCGACCCACCTCCTCGTCCTCCTCTCCCCGTACTCTGAGAGTTGTTTGAGAAATCATGTCAAGGCAACCTGGAAGATTCTTATTTCAAACATTACAGAACTCTTGAGCTCCAGAAAAGACCCAATTATTTTTGACTGGGTTTAAAGAGCTCACACCTTCCCAGCTGAGCCCTTCTCTCCCAGGTGTCAGCTCTGCTTTGGGCTTCCTGCATTTTCACCCCAAACCCCCTTGGGAGGTGAATAGCCCTCACCTTTGTCCTCTCTGATGACTGAGTCTGGGACAAGGGCAAAACCCCAAACCAAACTCAATGCCTTCGCATTGATACCGACTCAGAGTGACCCTACAGGGCAAGGTAGAACTGCCGCTAAGTCTTTCAGGGACTAGATAGCCTCATCTTTCTCCACTGGTGGTTTTGAACTGCTGCCCTTGCGGCTAGCAGCTCAACATCTAACCACCACACCGCCATGACCCCCGGTGATAAGGATGTTGTTACATGCCATCGAGTCGGTTCCAACCCACGGTGACCCTGTGCACAACAGAACGGAACACTGCCCGCTCCTGCACCGACCTCCCGGTCGTTCTTAGGTCTGAGCCCACTGTGGCAGCCCCGGTGCCCGGCCATCTTGCCGAGGGCCTTCCTCTTTTTCGCTGCCCCTCCAGTTTACCCAGCATGGTAGCCTTCTGTAGGTGTCTCCTGACGTGTCCCAAGTGAGATGAAGCCTCACCATCCTTGCCTCGAGGGAGCACTCTGGCCGCACTTCTTCCCAGATAGATCAGTGTGTCCGTTTAGCCGTCCACGGGACAAGGGTTGGGTAGGGATTTGGGGATGGCTTTCTCAGGAGACTCCTGGGAAGGGGAGGCCTGGTGGGTGGCTGGGGGTGGGGAGAACAGGAGGATCTGGAGAAAGGAAGCCATGCATAGAGCTGATGAGCTCTTCTGTGTGACCCCTGGGGAAAGGCGTCTGTCCCTGGGCTAGTGGGCTGAGCACCATGTCACGTGTCAACGTCAGAAAGACCTCAGAGAAAGCTTTCGGTGCACGAATCTCCTTTGTAAACACTCCAGCCACGTGGTTGGACAACCTGTGCACACCCTGAAAGACAGGGAGTCCCTGCCTTCATCAGGTGACCCAAAGGATCTCAGAGAAGCTCCCATGCTCAGAAAGTCCTTGCGTCTTTATTGTGTGCCCCTCATCCTTCCCTTTGAGCCCGCAGGGGAACAGGCCCAAGCTCCTTTACCTGGTAGCCCTTCGACTATCTCCTACCCCAGCTATGGTTCAGCCTGACCCAGAGTGGGGGTGTTCTCACAATTCTGGAAGCACAGGGAGGGGCTGCCTTGGGCGGGGCCAGCTGCTCTCCTGCCAGTTAGCACTCCCACTGGCTCAGCCAGCCCTGGTGGAGCAGGGTTCCTTCCATGCCCCACCCTCGGCAGCACCACCTTCCCCAGTCTTTGTGTCGTCTGGGGTGTCCAGGCAACAGGAAACAAACAAACATGAGACCAAGTGAGTGAGGGCTGGTCAAGACGTGCTTAGAGGGGGGCTAGACGCACAGCCGGCTTAGCTCTGGTGCCTGCCAGCTTCCACGCGCCTGCTCGGGGCAACTGCCAGGAGGGTAAGGCAAACCGGGAGCCTTTGGTTCTCTGCTGCAGGTAGCACAAAGGCCAATTTTTGTATACAGATTCAAGGGGCTGAGTCTCATTGGATGTTTGGGTTAATTCATCACAAAGTTTCTATCTATCTATCATCTATCTATCTATCTATCTATTCATCTATCTATCTATCTATCTGTCTAATCTATCTATCATCTATCTATCTATCTGGCCTAGGGCCATCAGTCACAGCCGCCTAGTCCGTCCTGAGGCCTGGCTTTGATCCCAGTAAGGTGCGCAGGGTTTGGGGAGAAGCTCTTAGATGTCCACTCTCAAGGGTCTCTCCCACTCAATCCAAGAAGAAGCATCAGGCGTCTCTTCTGACGTCACTCTCTTCTCAGTTCTGGTTGGGCAGGTTTATTTCCCCAAGTCGGAAATACCCTTCTGATTGCCTCTCTACTGCTGGCACGTCCTTGTTACCATGCTCACCTGCCTGAACGTCACGCCTGTGTGTGTGTGTGTGTGTGTGTGTGTGTGTGTATGTGTGTAGAGCCAAGGGTGGTGCCCTTGGCCTTGTCTCCCCTGCCTGCCCAGACTGGGTGCTCTGGAAGGCGAGAAACTGAGGCTCCTGTGTTGCCATATCCTGGGGCCCAGTGCAAGCACCAGCCAAAGCAGACACATGTGTGGTGTTGGTGGGTGAATCAAGGCTGTCCTACAGGACAGGGCTGAACTCGGGAGGGAGCTGGATGTGTCCTCAGGTGTGTGTTCTCAGGAATTTGCACACTTTATAAACTGACATCTCCACTCATCCCTGGTAACCATCTACCACCTGCCACTGCCAATGGGCTTGCTGATATGGTGGTTGCTTAGGTCAATCTTTGTAGTGATGAGGACTAATTTCATGCTACTTGCTCTTAAGAGTGTTGGTCAGCCCCAGACTCCACTAGATGGGGGAGACTTGGGCATACCCTGGCTCCCTCCTAGGGTGCCCCTTCCTCTGAGATTGGCCAGCAGAGACCATGAAGGATGGAGAGCTGAAGCAGGGACTCAGGCTGCATATACGTAAAGCTCTTGCCCGCCAGCCCTGATTGGGGTCTCAATCTCCGCCCCACCCACATCCACAAACTCCCCACACATTCAGTCACCCTCCTCTCTGAACTGGGAAGGCCTGGTGGTACAGCAGATTCACACTGGGCTAACCGCAAGGTCAGCAGTTCAAACCCACCAGCTGCTCCTTGGGAGTAAGATGAGGCTTTCCGCTCCCATAAGATGTTAGTCTGGAACCTCCAGGGCAGTTGTACCTGGCCCTCTAGGGTCACGATGAGGTGGAATCAACTCAACGGCAGTGTTTCTTCCTCTGTCTCTTGGGACAGAGTTGAATTCCACTCCTGGCCATCCTGCAGGCAGCAGCACCATGTTCTGTTGGGTTATCAATGGCTAATTTGGGGGGAAGCAGATCGCCAAGCCTTTCTTTCAAGGCACGTCTTGATGGACTGAAATGTCCAGACTTAGATTAGCCACCACATGCATTAATCATTTGTCCGACTCAGGACTCTTCTCCCTCTCTAGCTAACCCTAACTCTTCCCGGACAGCCCTCACGTCCCCCCGCCCCCCCAAAGGAGTAGCACTCCCAGCACACACTACCACCTCTCGGTCCCCAGCCCAACGGACCCAACCATGGCCTCGGCACTGACCTACACGGAAAGCCAGCAGCTGCAGGCTCTCCTGGGTGTCTCTGCTTTTTCCTCCAAGGAATCTCGGTCTCATCTCCTCTAGACTTAGGAGGAAGCTGGCCACCACTTTTCCTCAGAAGTTTTCTCTGCGGGGCAAGTCCCTGGCCCAGGTTCCTTGGTGTTGGAGGGTTGAATGAGCCTGGGTCTCCACGCGGATGCGGGAGAGGGGCTGAGGAGCCCATTGGTGGTGTAGGCAGGTCTGGAAAGCGCCAAACAGCAGTCCTGGGGCTCAGGAAAGAGTGGTGAGGAAACTTGGGTCTTTACCCAAGCAGCTGGGAAAGAAGTTTGGGGCAGGGGGAGAGCAGGAAGACGGGGCTGCGTGGAGTTACTGGAAAGTCACCCTGGATGAAGAGGTAGGGAAGGCTTTTGCTCAACTGTCTCCCTCTGGTTCTGGGCAGCAGCTCATCTCAGATGCAACCTTTGGGCTACTCTGGGCCCTTTTCTTCTGGTCTCTGTCCATCTCTACTTTTGACTTCCTGTTTCTGTCCTAGGACAGCAGCAAATGTGAGCCAGATCAGGGTGGCCCCAGCTGAGAGCTGTGGGTTGATTGTTCAGGACACAGCAAGAGGCCCTTTGGGAAATATGTTCCCTGACCCCTCTGGCTTCTCCACCTCTTGCTGAAGTCTGGACGGGCCATTTGGATGCCACCTGGGCCTTTGTCCAGGGCTGTCACCAACGGGGTGCGCACTACACTGGGAGACACTCTGCCAAGGGATCACACCAAAATGACTGTCTATAAAATCTTCATTCGGCGTTTCAACAGACATTTATTTTTTAATGAAAATACCCCAGCAGTCATAACAACGAAAACAGCTTTTCGTAATCCCAGCTTACACCTGTCAATGCACCTACATAGGTGAGACTCTGTGCTGATTGTTGAACCTTTTCATATCCTCTGGCCAGAGTTGTCGCATCGCCAACTACAATGCCGCTTCAAATCACGTGGTCTCACCTGCCGGCCCTTCTGGTGTTTTATAGTCACTGCTTTGGCCATTTCTGGTGTTAGGCACAATACTGTGGTGATTACTATTTGTGAAGCTCTGTCAATGATTTTGAAAGTAAAGTAGTAAGTAAAAGAAAAGAGGGAAAACCAAAAAAGGTTTCTGCTCAGTTATTATTAAGACAGCAACTGTAAGAGCATTGTAATTCACGGTAGAAAGGCTTTACAAGGCAATGTGGTTGCCTGCGTCCTCGTCGGCTCCCGCTCAGACGGACCCAGCGAAACCACTCAGTCTTGAGCGATCCTCACAATCCATCTCGTTGAGGGTCTCCTTTTTTCGCTGCCCCTCTACCATGCAGGACGTCCTTCTCCAGGGACTGGTCCCTCCTGATCGATAGCACGTCCAAAGTCCGTGAGATGACGTCTCACCAGCATTCCGGCTGACCGTCCTCCGAGACTGCTGTGCTCACTCTCCTGGGGTCCGTGGTACCGCGGGTGTTCTTTGCCAACACCAACACTCAAACGCATCGATTCTTCTCCTGTCCATATTCCTATCATCTAAGAAATGCTACATTTAAGCAATTTATACCATACGTTTTGCACATTGTCCTATGGTTATAGTTGATAGTAGTACTAAGGATTCTGTAGGGTCTGGGACAGGAGGAGATCCGTGGTTGCGGTGGTGGAGTGACGCCAACCCCAGGGACACTACTGTGCCCATCACTGTTCCATTCTGTGCCCTTTACTGATCCCTCCACCTCCTGGTTTCTTCCTCAGCCTCTCTCTGGGGCACAGAGGGAGCGCTGGTAATCGCAGATCTCATCTGTTTGCACTTATATGGGGCCTGAAAAGAAAGGAGGTGGGGAAATGGGCGGGGAGAAAAGGAGAGGAGGAGTCAGAACTGGGGAGGTCTTGCCTTCCCGGCAAGAGGAGGGAGTCCCAAGAAAAACACGCGCTGTGGGTCTCCCAAAGGGCAAGGCCTGTGGGCTGCACCCATACTGCGCTGTGTCAGCTGATCCTGATAGTATTCTGGCGGCCCCACCTTTCACCCTCCCCACCAAATCCTAAGCGTTCAGGGGGCAGGGCTGGAAGGCTAACAGCTCCTTTACAGGCCACAGATTGCAAGGAGGTGGCAATTAGTTCTCAGTGGGTCAAGGGGGAACCAGGATGCTGCCCTGCCTTTTCAGGTTTCGAGGGATCCCACTGCGGAATCCTTTTAATAGCTGTTCTTCTAGGACGGTGGTTCTCAACCTTGCTCATGTCACGACCCTTTAATACAGTTCCTCATGTTGTGGTGACCCCCAACCATAAAATTATTTTCGTTGCTACTCCATAACTGTCATTTTGATACTCTTATGAATTGGGTGACCTCTGTGAAAGGGTTATTTGACACCCAATGGGGTTGCGACCCACAGGTTGAGAACTGCTGTTCTAGGAGCATTTAATCTAGACCCATGGTCTCCCTCAACTCCCCTCTCCTGGACTCCCAAACCACCTCCCACTCTGGTAAGACTCGGATGGACCCATCCTCTGACCACTTACCACACCCCCCTCCTCAGATGCCTTTCACAGAATGGGACCGGGTTGTTGTGGGGTCTCATTTGCTGTGGGATTAACTAGCTTCCTACCTCTCACACTGATGGGCTCTTGCACATTTTAATCCCTCCTTGGAGTTCTGGGACCTCAACCAACATGGGCTTTTGGAATTCGCCTAGAGCTCAAGGGTGAACACTCAGACATGCCTGGATTTAGCCGATGGAGGCTGAGGTCTTTCTAGATCATAAATGAAACTTCAACAACGATTTCCATGAAACCTATATATATTTAACCCTATATATGTTTTAATCTTAACTCTAGCCTGTTCACACCCAAATCCCAGACTTAGTGGTAATTGCAATCCTAAATCAATCTCCACGCAGCTTTCAGTTTAGCCCTAACTGTATTCCCAAGCCTGGCTATAAAAGAAGCTAAAGCCCTCCTCCTTATCACAACACAAATCCCAGCCCTAAACCCTAGCCTCAATTCTAGCTCTAATTCCAACCGTAACCACAACCTTAACTCCAAGTTCCAACCTCAAATCTACCCTCAACCTCATTCAGAAGTCTAATGAACCCAACCTGAACCCTTGCTCTAATCTTCAATCCAACGCTCACATTAGCTCAGACCTGGAACCAATTAACCCCAACCCTACACTTCAGTTTAATGGAGTCGCCATCTGGAGTCCCTTCTTTGTCTGCCCTTCCCTGGTCCCATCTCTTCTTCTCCTCGACAACCCATCAGTAATTTTCCATGTGTTTGGTTTTCCTGGGTGGGCCTAGCAACATGAGGGTCATGAGTCCATTTTCTCGGGTTGTGCTGGACTGAGAGTCAGGGGTCTGGGTATCCCCAACTTAGTTTCCAGCAGCCGCATCTTGGATGAATTCCCATGTTTCTCCAGGCCTCTGTTTCCCCATCTATAAAATGGGGATAATGATCCCTGGCCTCCAGAGGGTACCAGGCAATCCCATAAACCTCAGAAATAAACAAGGAAATATGGATACTCATTGTGTCCAGCTGGTGGGCCCTGGAGCGCCCTGTTATTGTTGGGAGGGGGTAGGTTTGGAACGCAGAGATGCTGGCCTCCACGTGCTTCCTTATTATACTTGTTTTTCCTGGAGGGGTGGGCCCTCACAGCATTCCCGCGCACCATAACTCTCCCCAAGACTCTTCCCCCTCTGTCCTTCCTGTGCCTAGGTCAGGACAGGAGAGAGAGGTGAGGAAGGACCTTTGACTCTCTGAGACAGTCAAGCTGTTGAACAGGTCACTCACGACCCCACCACTGTGCACGGGAATAGTAGAGTCCAGGGGAGGCCTGGGGCCTGTCCCTGGGCCAATGATGGCCAGTCACTTTCCCCCTTCTAGGATCCCCTACTCCAATCTCCTCAGAACTGGGCTGGCTTAGTCCCCACAGTGACCAGTCAGTTCAGGTTATGAGGGTGCTTGGCCTCCCTTCAGATGTACAGAACAAGACCACCCAGTGATCCCCCACACAGAGGGGCTTAGCCCACTCGAGAGAAACAAGCCTCCTATATGTCTGTCTCACCATGTGTACACATTCACATGGCAGTCTGTCTCACTGTGTGTGCACACTCACAGGGACAGTCTGTCTCACATGGACAGTCACACTCACACGGCAGTCTGTCTCACTGTGTGTGCACACTCACAGGGACAGTCTGTCTCACATGGACAGTCACACTCACATGGCATTCTGTCTCACTGAGTATGTGCACACTCACAGGGGCAGTCTGTCCATGTGTACACTCATATGGACAGTCTATCTCACTGAGTGTGCACCCACTCACACGGGCAGTATCTCCTTGTGTGCACGCTCACAAGGCCAGTCTGAGTGTATGCACGCACACAGGCTTGCTCCTCCCCAGTCCTCCCAGCACTGTTCTCACCAACATTCCTTTACACAGGAGCTCAACAATCGTATCCACTGGCCTCTGTCCCTCTTCTCTCAGGCCTAACTAAAGTAGCCTCAGTCCTGTATCAGAACTGGGGGCGGGCCCCCCATGGTGTCCCCTGGTCCCCTGCAGCTGGGGACAACCTGGGTCAGGGATGGATGGGGGCATAGTTAAGGGCAAGGAGGACAGACAGGTCAAGACCATGTTCCCACACATCTCTTCCCTTCCTTTTAGCTCAGGAGACCTCCTGACTCGCTTTGAAGGGCCAAAGGCCTTAAGGGGAGGGCGGGCCGGGCATTCCTAAGTGCCTTTCATCTGCCTGGCCCTTCCTTCCAACCCCAGGTCGTCCTGGCAATAGGGAGAATACCCTGCTCAGTGGTGCCCCTGCCAACAGACCTGGGTGTGAGTGTCCTGTGCCTTTGTTCAGGTTTCTTGGGAGGGGCAGAGGTACTTGGAGGGGGCAAGGATTTGGGATGCTGGAATCGGCTAAGGGAATGCCTGTGCCTTGGAATTAGTATTAACCCTGCAAGGCCTGGCCATCCTTCCTCC